CATCACCCTCAGTTTTTTAAATAAACGAACTTTTGTAAAAACCCAAAATTTTCGACAAAAATGAGGTATTGCATGAAAAGTACAAACGTTAGAAAGTTCTAATTGATGTTAAAAGATAGAGGAGAGTTTCCCGAATATAGTGGCATGCAATTTATTAATTGTTTTTGGTCCTAAATAGCAATAAATTAATGTCAAAATTTTAAAAAAGTGTTGACATGAGCAGTTTCTGCGCAATATTTTTGTATTTTTACGAAAAGTTTTCTGTTCAGCACGAAAACTACCCAGGATCGGATTTTATAGACATTTCTGAAGAAGAAACGGCCCGGTAAAAGTGTCGGAACGATGTACATTTCGAGTAGATCGAAAAAATGTTCGTCGGCAACATGTACACGACGTTTTGCCGCCATGTCCTTCGCTGCTCGCTTCTCTCTGTCCGGCAGGGACGAAGCTATGTGTAATCAACACCGATGGAGGGATCCAATGGGGCACCCACTTTTCGTAAATAATATTTGAATTTTTTTTAGTATTTCAACGTTCTGTTTTTTTTACATATTTCTGTGGATAATAATCACCAACTAGCTATAGGAACTCAAAAATCGTGTCGGACAGTGTTATTATTTGTCTGAGAACTCTACTTGTGACGCCGTATCTTGTTTGAGGAACAAGCGTAAGTTCCCGCTCTGGTCGTGTTTGCTATACAGGAAAACCCATCTGAGTCTTCGTGTAGTAGGACCAAGTACAGGCGGTGCCAGGGATCTCAGACAACCTACCGTTCTTGGAATTTCGACTCAAAACTAGTGGTGTCCAATGGTGTCAGGAATTCTGGTCGGAATATGCTCCGAGTGACGGAGAGGAGACCTCACAAATGGGATTAGATAATTCCAATGGATTGCCAATGGAATCCATTGGCATCATCCAATTCCATTTGTGAGGTCTCCCCTCCACCACTCTACTTTTTACTATAAATTTAAATAAATGACTTTCTCTTATGAATTTATATAAATTAATTACTCTCAAAACTCCTCTATGCCACGCATGTATCGGCCGCGTATGGGAAATTCTCTCATTCCTAGTTTCTTGGAAAAAGGTCATAAGACTGGACGGTGCGCAGGCGGATCGGGTCTTCGAGTGAGCCATACCCGTCATATCTCCCAGAACTAACCCGGAACGTAAAAGGCAGGTGAAGTCGTTAGGAGATTCCGACCACCAAACTGTGTGTCGACAAAACTTAATCTATGATATCAAAAGCTCTTTTTTGACGTCTCGAAAATGACTAAAGACACGCAGTCAAGATTTGATATACAATGACCCTTACCTATTCACTCTATTTCCTAAAAATTTCAGTTGATCTTGATGAAGAGATCATACAGCATTGCAACGGAAAATTGTTGCAATATTACATAGTGTTTTCTGTTCCATAATTAGTGTACTTTTGTCAAATTAAATTCACAAGTGAATTACACATATAATAAAGTATAAATATTAATTAACTATAAAACAATTCTGCACTATCAGTAGAATGCACACAACGGTTGTCGACTTTGATAATGAAATGTTGGTATTTGTTATGTTTGTTAGTATGTATTTAAATTATGAGCACGCGTGGCTTATTTTAGAATACGAATATTCTAGAGTAGCCAATGCTGAACAGCAGACTTTGTCCGTTGTCTGGATAGAACAAAAACTTACAATACCCTATACAAAGTATAATCAAAGGTGATTTGATATCAATAAATCGAAACGACGCAAAAAGAAGTTTATTTTTATGAAAAAGAAGGCATTTATTTCATTCGAACTGAAATGCAAAGTACAAATTGCATGGATAATATAGTAGTAATAATGTAACAATTAATCATTAATAAATATCAATTCAATTAATAATACGATGTGTACCAATATATTGTGGATTATATGTACGGTAATTGTACTACACGGGATGTGTTCAGTGGCAGTGTTACATCGCTATGATCAAAAAGGGTGTATATTACAATTACTTTTTCATTCTCGCTGGTCGTCGACTCAAGTCAGCTACTCGATTGTGCTTTCGTAATTTTCTCTTCTTCATTGTGATATTGTTTTTCCTTTCCTTCATTCTATTTGAAATCGGTGATGTATTTCCGGCATATTTATTATCTAATTAGGCGCGCACTGATTTTACAAAGAAACGTTTGCTGAGCATCCAGAAATATACGAAGTAGGATATTATGCATTAATAAATAATAACAAAGTCATTTTCTCTGATAATCATAAAACTAAAAACCAGTTTTTAAACAGTAGAGGAACATAAAACATAGGAGTCAACAAACGTGGTCAAAATATAAATGTTGAAATTGTATTGAATTTCTATAGTTTTACCTGCGCCCGTTCGAATCTTTCTGTCAACATGAGCAAAGCTTCATTTTTAGTATGTACAGTATCTTGCACTTTCATGATCGCAACACAAACTTAATAGCGTCCGTCTGATAAATATAACAATAAAGAAAGAGACAGAGAGAGAGAGAAAGAGAGAAAGAGGAAGAGAAAGAGAAAGAGAGAGAGAGAGAGAGAGAGAAAGAGAGAGAGAGAGAGAGAGAGAGAGAGAGGAAGCGAGAATAGGAAAGAGTTAAAACTTAACGAAAACGAACCTTTGTCGTCGTATCATTTAAACAATCGAGTCGATACGGTTATCAAATGAACTGTTGCTTCAAATTGATTTTTTCGTATTAAATTACTTTGGTTGCATTTTGTGCATGATCAGGCAGTACTTAGAATAAGTTTACAGATGTGTAGAATGAGCTCGCATGAACATTTTCTCATTCACGGACCATCGTATTTGTCGTTCTTCTTTAGTTACTCGTCTCACGCTGAAAAACAAGTTTTCTTCGGCTTTTTATAAGATTCTGTTAACGGAAAGAACGCCTTGCATTTCTTCGTATGTTCTTTCATAAAAAGAGTTCAGCCGTTTTTGCATTTTGTGCAAAAAATTAGTACCTTAAATTAATTATCGATTGCTCAGCTGCAAATTGATCTTTTTTTTTGTCAGATAAGTTCAGCTATTGTGTATAGTACATGTATTGCTAAAAAGCCCCTTATTTGCATAGTAAATGAGCTAGAGTCGATGATAACTGATATCGTTGAAAATTTTTCATTTGTACAGACCATTGATTGATTTGATTGAATCATCGTCTCCTTAAGATGTAAATTAGATTATTATTTATGTGAAATAGATAGACATTTCAGAAATAGATAGATATTCACATTTACGGAAGTTTCAACTCCACTTACTTATAATTCGTTTGTTTGTCATCGACTGGTTACAATGCACGCTAAGAACCCATTCTACCTTTTGTTCAATCGGAGTGCATAGTTCACAGAGTATGATGGGTACGATTAAATAAAAGAAATAATGGTGTTTTGCAAATATTTCATATATATATATATATATATATATATATATATATATAGAGAGAGAGAGAGAGAGAGAGAGAGAGAGAGAGAGAGAGAAAGCAATAAGACGATAAATTACCTGAGCTTCCAAATCCGACGAGTAGGGGTCACGATTAGACTAGTAAAAACGAATTTAAGGGTGAGGATAAGAAATGTTTCCGTCGCAATGATCTTATCTGTTTTCTTTTTTTTTTTATGTTCGATTCCCCATTTATTAGTAAGTATTTAACATCAGTGGCAAATAAAACTTCAACTCACATTATTTGAGCATGTCCTCGCAGACTTTGTTTCGTACGCTAATTGGCAACGGTGAAAATTCTTTCTATGCGATCTTACGAGTTGCCTTCGTCTTCCGAATTGAAGTATGTTTTCCCATATTTTCGTATTTTGTTGCATCAATGATTTCTTCGTATACAAATTTTTCATTTATTTCCTATTTTACGAATAATACTAGGTGTCCCATAAATTCGTTTATATTAAAATTTCACGATACATATATACTATACACGATACCTGAAGAAACTATATATAAATGTGTACTTAAAACAATGGGTGGATCATTAAACATTCATTTACGGTGAAAATTTAAACGTATCTTTTGTGTACAAATCTATCAGCAAAACAATGAGCTTCGTGAATATGGATATCAGACTAAGTATCACTTACGCAATATTAAACAATGTTCTTCTGTTAGGTAGAAAAAGAATACAGAAAGTTGAAATAAATAATTCAATAGACTTAAGTCACCACGTGTCGTTTGTAATGTGCAATGTAATGAGAATGATATTTATAGGCTATTTATGAATAAATTAAATGATTTCCTTCTTATTGTATTTTTTTTTAAATACATATAGAAATACACTATGAAACACCCCGTATAAATATTTCTAATAAGTCGTGAGAGATCATATTCTGTATTCATTGAGTATTAGGAATATACGTAAACTTTTCGACGTGTCTACGTCCAGCGAATGGATCAAATTGATTTTCGATGATGGTGAGTCATCGAATTGTGTCTGACACAATCGACGCTCGGTAGAACAGAAATCTCGGAGATTGTCATAGCATTTTCGCTATACGAAGTCGCATTTGGAATTGCAAATTCATGTATTATATAAAATAACTATGCGTAACATTTTACAACTTTCTTTTCTGGTGTCGATCTATATTTTAGTCAACAAAACCTGTGACATGTTTGAATACAATTAGATCATTTAAAATAATTCTAATTTCATTTAGAAATATATTACGTTTATTACTTTATACGTCTCTGTTGTAGAAATAATTTTAGTGGAGTCACTCACAATCAGAAATATTTTTGAACGATTTCATCAGACACAAAGAGCTCTGATTCCTTGAACAAAGCCAATCTCCAAGATTTCGAAATTTTAGTCATTTTAATTTTGTGATTCGTATGAGATTCGTTGCCATGAACAATCGTCGGCACCCATAGTTTGCCACTGTACACATACATACCTACACGCACGCGCGTGCACACACGCAAATGTAATCGGGCCCATGCACACTACCCAACTCATTAGTTAATTACATTACTAAACGATAAACCACGTGTCCCCAGAGAACGTCAATCCGTTGAATACTGAATCTGCTTAAAGTCTACGATGAAATCAGTGATTAAAATGGCTGAAGTAACGAAAGAGGATAATACGAAGATGGTCCGTGAGAGAATAAAGTACGGAGATGGATTGTGATTGTGAGTGGGACGAATCTACGAACACCAGGAACTTTCAAATATTTTTGTTGAAGAGAAACACATAATGAAAATGAATGCGACAATGATATTTGGAAATATAATATACCGTATACAACTACGTTATTCACGAACCAAAAGTAATCGTTCAAGCGTTGATACTGTTGTTTTCTCTAAAAAATAGAAATTCAAATTTTCACTAATTTATTTCATGTTTATTGATTATATGTAGTATAAAATGCAATGTTACTTTTGCAGTTACTAAGTGGAACCAGCATCCAATCCTTCTTGAAAATCGTTTACCGAAAAAGATCGAGAAAGTGGAGGACTAGCTCGGTAAATGCACAATCAGTTTTATTAATTCATACACTCAAAAACAGATGTGAATGAGCATCGTTATTGAAAAACTATCTGGTCATTATATACAAAGAAATGTAGACGTGTAATTAAAGTAAACAAATGATTGTCAAATGTAAAACTAGCGTAACAGAAAAATGTAGTATGAAGCAAGGAGGTATATGTATTCGACGCGTCTTTTGATATTGACAGAGTTCGCGAGGCATCGTTGTGTCGTAGAAAACACGCCGAATAAATGATCGCGAGAACTGTAATATCACAAACTCGTTGAGGAGAATAGTACACAAGACGATAAATTGGTAGGACGAATATACAACGATGCTCGGTGCCGATCGCGGCGCAATACGAGCGGCACTGGCATATCGAGATACACGTTACTTACAATATTCGTACAAGTGCTTACACTACGTTCGGATTTCTCGAGAGATCCGTCGGGGTATCGCTTAACCGATAAATTGACTATTAATATTTCCGTAGAGAATTTTACAAATCAGTCGAGACACGCGTACGGAAAAATGTTCTCGACAACAGTTGACCCCCATCTAACGTCACCCAGTAATCCGGTAACCTCTTAACTCCGCAATCCTGTAAGCCCGTAACCCCGTGACGAATGGGTTGCTCGATAACGAACAGATCGATGCTCGTTCGAAAGTGACCACATCTGATTCAAGAATAATGTCAAACTCACTCACAGTATACCCAACGAAAAAGGAAATCTTCACCTTCTTCTAAGTTTCTTCTTTTGCCGTTTAAACATTTTCCCGAGTTTTTTCTCGTTCTCATGGAACATCCTTCCATTCTAATAATTGTATTTGTCGGCCGCGCTTGTTATTGACAGAAAATAAATATGAATACTATGACAAATATCTTTAACTTCACTCTGCGGCCAACGTTTCGTATTTCGCTCTACGGTTTATTTGACTTTTTTACTTTCTATTCTATGCTTTAGTGGCCTTCGGTCGTGTGCACTTCCTTATTATATATAATATGTATATATTTATACATATCACGTTATGTTAATATGTATATATATATGTATATATTTATATCTGTATAATATTAAATATAATAATTACATATGCGGTAACTCTCTTTGTTAGGTGGACATCCGTATGTTCCACGTTTGCTGTACCCTTTGTTTTTTCACTATGCGCTTCTCTCCCTCTGTCTATATATTCTATATTTTATTTATAAATTCATATTTATATATTCATATTTATATATTTCTATACACATATATATATGTACGTCTTACATATGCAGATACGTAATACATATATGTATATAATGTCAATAATATTATTAATCATTAATGAGGATGGTGGTGACAGTGACAACGATGAGGATGGTTTTCGACTCGCTAACAGTAGCTAACGCATCTTAAATAACTCTAGTACGACAGACCGCATTACTGTAGGATCGTCGGCATATCGCGAACGAGAAAGGAGCCGCGAATGTGTCGTTTCTCAGGATTCATTACACCTAACAATGATGCGAGTCCGTGCACATGGGACCGAGAGCCGGAACCTATTCGCTGGAAGAAACTGAAAAATCGTGTTCGAACTTCACTTTGTTGATCTGATCACTGAACTTCAGATTGTGTATCGATAGGTACGGGAAATACTAACAGTTACAAAAAATGATAAATGCCCTTTAAGAATCGCCGTGGCCTCGACCTTGTCTTTGGGTCGCATGATCACTAATAAGAAAACGTAATGACGGTGACGCGTGCGTCAATGATACTGGCAGTAGTAAAACCTTTACAAGTAAGTTCAATTAACTAAATTGTCACAGTGTATGATAATAATCGAGCAAATGCCGAAACATCGAGGTCGACGGTACCGATAAATAGTAATTATGACTGTGACTAAAAATAATGAATCGTATGTATATATATAATATTTATAATAAATCTATATTCGTATATAGATTTACCGTATTACAATAGAAAAGTCCTTGTTGCGTGTAGGGACGCACAAGCGCGTTCGCAACTTCCCTATGTATACGCGTAAAAGTGCTATACAAGTTAGGTGTGCACCATCTCCACGCGCATTACACAGTGCTTTCTAACGCGTGTGATGTCGTTGGTTGACCGTGACTCGACTCGTTTGCAACAACGTTACACATTGCGCGTCGTACTTAATACGATGGGCCAAAAGAAAGCTCTTTGCTGAGATCACCATCGACAAACGGCTGCGTTTGCCGGCCAGGAAACGTTGTTTCTTTGTCTTGTTCACGCACCCCCTATGACTGTCCCCATGCCCCGATCTTCTCCTTTATCGATATCGAAACATTACATCCATGTACCGGAAACGATCGCAGTTTGTGGACGACATGGTCGAGGTTTATTAAACGGAACATAGTAGTTTTTCTTTTACTCATCTAATGTAAACACATCGCCTCCGGTGAACACGTAAATTTCTGTGTAAATTTTTAGGTTGTCGTTTCTCTTCTATTGTCCTTGGAAAGTTTTGTTCGAATTCACATTCCATAAAGGTCAATTACGTCCTACAAGGTTACACAGTCACTAAACTTCCCCTGGGGTGCATCGATCGTGCAAATTCAAACGAGTTTTTAGAAGATTCCTTGTATTGTTTTATTCCTCTTCCTCGCTCTCCTCCGTTGGACCGTACATATTGGCCAATTTGTCGAATCTGGGACCCCAGGCTGTTAAGTACTCATACTCGTGTTGCTCGTCGTCCGTACCTAACAAGTGGAAAGTTTTTGTTTAGTTTTCCTTCAGATATTTGGATTATGGAAACACGAAAAATACTTCGTTAAATACTAATTTTCTAACAAAGACAAAACTTCAGTTACTACACTTGAATTTTAACGAATTTTTCTTAAATGCTAAAATACAGATAATACAGAGTATAGAGTATAGAGTGTTTTATTTGATTTTAATTTGCAGGAATCAACTACAGCAACTAATTTGCTTCATCTAACGAAATGCTTTAGTGATTTGTTCGAGATAAATCTCTATCGCGTTTTTCGTTTTGTTAAATGTAGGTTTTGTGCAGAACGTTTTACAAATTCTGTTACAATAGTTTTAAGTACTTCCTATGTGATTGTTGTGTTGTTCCTCCTTTTCTAATTCATCAACTTCTTTATACGGATGTTCGATTTTTGTATCGAAATCGGTTGACGTTATTATGAGTTACAACAAATAAAAGATCGCAAAAATCACAGTCTTGTCACAATTTTTGACACTTTTGTCCAAAAACTGTAAGAAATCTTCAGTTTTTTAAATCTTTCAACGCCTATAACTTGACAATGGCTTAACCGATTTCAAGCACAATTTTGAGCACCGATTTCGTTAACAAATTTCCAGAATGCACATAAGTTACCGACATTTAACAAAGGTATTTTTTAAATTTTCGTCATAGGCTCAGATAAAAAAAAAGTTAAAAAACGAGTATTTGTTTTGTCATTCCAAGTTAGAGCAAAGTTTTGAAAAAGGCATTTTAGTCATTGTCTACCAGACAAGCCTCTCTATCATGTAAAAGAATTCAAGTCATTTAGTCCAGTTTTAAAAAAGTTATCGTGTTTTTAGAGTATGCGAACACAAGGGTATGTGACCACTCGATTACTCGAAACCGAGTAAAACATATAAGAATCATACTTTCCGATTGTTAATCATTTTCAGCGAATCGATTTAAAATGGGCACACTATATGATGTAAAATAATATAAATGTAGACGATTTTTAAAAAAATTTATGATTCCACAAAAATGAGAGAAAATGCAACAGGTTATAATCATGAGAATATGAAGAAAATCGTGAATAAATAATTAAGATCTTAATATCGTATTTAAATTATTATCTTATATATCCCGTTAGTGATGGCCTGTATCATATAATAATTAACACTAGATTTACGGAACCCGTCAAAATGACGGATCACTAATTTTTTAATTTACGATTAATCATATCGTAAAGATACATTTATGAATTATTTATTCATAATTTATATGTTACTTACGGCAAATGTTACAATAACACTTGTTAAAGTCAGAATAAATATCTTATTGTTACTTTTATAAGCTAATATAAAACAGCTGTTTTTTGTGCTCCGTAAATCTAGTGTTAAAAAGATCTTAATTAACCCTTCAAGCATGGCATAAGATTATACTTCTTTTATTTTTCTATCTTAACGGTCGACGAGTGTATAGTACACATTCCTGTGAATCGTTTAATGTCGGCTTTTTCATCATGTTTACTATAATTTAGGAAAAAACTAGGATTGTTTCAGACGTTTTGTTTTACCATCACTGATTTCAATAACCTTAAAAAAATAACCTCCATTCAACATAACTTTTCCCTATTTGTGTTATACATATAGTATCTTAATTAGCCACAGTTACATCACTGGGAATAAATATTAAAAATCCGACCGTAACAATATACATAGACGATTTTCTGTCATTTTCAGATCATCGAAGACATTAAGATTTACGCAATAAAGGGTGAATCGGTAAGAACCATAATCTAAAATAACCCGGTACACAGAGTGTTTATTATTTACGGTACTTCTAGGAAATATGAGGTTCTTGAGGTCATTTAAAGTAACTTTTCCCTTAGCGAAAATGCAATCTGTGGCTTCGTTTACGAGTTATTAACGAAAAACAGGGATTAATGAGAGGCGAGCAAATGCGGACGAAACCGAGTTCCGTTCATTGGCTCGGCCGCCTCATGCCAGCTGAACTCGCCTCTAATGAAAAAACTGACCAATGGGTCAGTTTTTCGTTAATAATTCGTATACAAAACCGTAGATTGCACTTGCGCTAAGGAAAGAAGTTACTTCAAATGACCTCAGGAACCTCTTACTTCTCGGAAATACCATAATTTTGGGATACTCTATATATTCGTCGTATCCAACATTTTTTGAATGAACTATATTGTTTTAAGGCTCGCATCGAATGAGTAAATTTTGAAATTTTTATGTTTCATTTTTTCAACATATCTACGTGACCTTGAGTGATTGCACATGCACCCGCCATCACATCAGAATTTGTAAAGAATAAAATTTTTAATTTCTTGTTCAAAACTCATTAACAAAGTCGAAACCAACATTTTCGTTAAGCAAAAATTAGTTCAGAGTGTCAGAAATTCCCCCTTTCCGGATCCTACAGCTGATTCTGAAACACCCGTAGAATATTATACAGGGTGTCCCACAATTATTTTAACAGCCGAAAATGAGGGGTAGCTGAGGTCATTTGAAGTAACTTTTTCCTTTGCGAAAATGCAATCCGCGGCTTCGTTTGCGAGTTATTAACGAAAAACACTGGCCAATGAGACGAATTGGCGCGAACCATATGGTTATCGATCGGCCGAGCGGCACGTGCGTTTACCGCTGAGTTTGACAGTTGAAGGAGGGACTGTGTGCGGCGTCCGAATCAATGAACAAGTCACGGAGCATGAACTTTTGATATTTTTTTTTACCACGTGACAGTGATAATTTCAAGAAAAACGCTATTCATCCTTATTTCAGAATGTCTGAAGAATGTTTACTAAATTTTCGGTCCCGAAATAATATGTAGTTTAACCGTGACAACCGTTTTAATTTTCTCACGTGTACCGTATGAAATTTGTATGCGATATGTACAGTGAAGATTAACAATAAGCAACCCAGTCGAAGTACATAAATGATATTTGAATTTAAATAATTCCGTGTCCGAACAGAATTCAACGAACGATGCGCAAAGCTAAATTAATAAATAATAATCGCGTTAAAGGACATAACGGATATGTTTGTTAGAGAAATATGAAGAATATTATCAATAAGAAACTCACCCAT